CAGTCTCTCATTCAGTCAACCCAGAGTCCTGCCAGTTAAGTTCACCTCTAGTCCTGCTTTTGTCATAGACTGTGTATAGGCGAGTTTCAGCTGACGTCATTGTTATTAAAAGTCCGCGTTGCATGCTGGGAAATATTTTGGTCGGAGGCAAGAAACACGGTAGCGGCCAAACACAGTGCGTAACCTCACGTATTTATCCCCGATAATGGTAAATTCCTGCTGCATTATCAGATGCACAAATAGAAGCACGGAAGAAGGAAAATGTCTTTTTCGTATTCTGAGTGAAAAGAACCACTAATGGTGAATTAAATGGCTTTCAAACATTCGCAGAGCAAACGTAGAAGATCCTAACAAACCGTGGACTCCAACAAGTTCAACAACACATCGAGACTCTTGGAGGTTTTCATCTTTTCTGCTGTGAATGGCCCAGGAGTTTCCACCAAGTCATTGTGGATATCGCCAAAGAGAATATTTGTCCAGGTAGTTGGCGATTCCGACCAGAAATTTGGTTTGGTCCACCTTTTGTCGGGGTTGAAAAGGGTGATTTGGCTCCGTCGATGCTTATGACCAATTTCTGGTCAAATGGTCTTGGGTCCTCTGCCGTTAGAGTGGATAAATAACCAGGATCAATACCCTTTACGTGCTTTCTCGCTCTGTCCGTCATGTTGAATTAGTGTTTATTGCCGCCAACCAAAATAATTCCCAGCATGCAACGTGCGCTTTTATCAACAATGAAACTCACCTATATAAATGGACATAGCTAATGCACTAGCTGCAGCGTTCCAAATAGGAAGTTCACATGCGGGTCTTCCGGCTCCAACTGACCCTGGCTTTCATTGGAATATTATGGCCCCCCTCTCTCTATCTGCTGCAATGAGCCTCGTCAATTTGGTCTTAAAATGTTCGTATTAACCCGTTCTCTACATGATCCTGGTGTTTTTTTTTTTTTTTTGCTATTTTGTCCGTCAAAAAAATCCTGTTCATGACATAGAGCCTGGTTCCAGATTCGTTCCTGTAATCGAGAGCATCAGGAGCCTCATTTGAGTGGCGCTGAATAATATGGGTGTATTAATTTACTCCATCTTAAGCCCTGGTTTAGTCCTGCTCTAGTCCATCTTTAGTCCTGACTTAACATATCTTTAATCCTTCTTTAGTCCTTGTTTAGCCCTGGTTTAGTTCTAGTTTAGTCCTGGTTTAGCCCTGCTTTAGTCCATCTTTAGTCCTGACTTAGTACATCTTTAGTTCTTCTGTAGTCCTGGTTTAGTCCTGGTTTAGCCCTGGTTTAGTCCTGGTTTAGTCCTGGTTTAGCCCTGGTTTAGTCCTGGTTTAGCCCTGCTTTAGTCCTGCTTTAGTACATCTTTAGTCCTGATTTAGTCCTGGTTTAGACCTGGTTTAATCCTGGTTTAGACCTGGTTTAGCCCTGATTTAGTCCTAGTTTAGCCCTGGTCTAGTCCTGGTTTAGCCCTGGTTTAGTCCTGGTTTAGTCCTGGTTTAGTCCTGGTTTAGTCCTGGTTTAGTCCTGGTTTAGTCCTGGTTTAGTCCTGCTTTAGTCCTGGTTTAGTCCTGGTTTAGTCCTGGTTTAGTCCTGCTTTAGTCCTGCTTTAGTCCTGCTTTAGTCCAGACCTAAGCCTCTTCCCTGACAGGAGCTGGTCCCTCTGGTGTGTTTGCTCAGCTGGGCGGCCCTGTGGCGTCCATGTTGGATTTCTCTCAGAGTGTTTGTGTTTGAGGAGAAGGCGTCTGACGTGTTTCCGAGCGAGACTGACAGGGCCGGGGTCAAAGGTCACGGCGAAGCGGCTACTTGAGGAAGTCTGACGGTTTACTGCGAGAGCGTGAGAGAGGAGTCAGCCTGTACTGGCCATGTGCACACTGACTCACCGCGTATGAACTATATCTGAACCCACACGTATGAAGTTACATAAAAACTACAGATACTTCAAAAACATAAGAAACTGGAACTGATTTTGTTATTTCTACAATGAATTTGAATGACGTGCTTTTGTGTCAATAGTGTATGAATTTTCAAAAAAAGAATTCACAAACTAGGAATAGCTTTGGTACACATGAAACATAATAATTCATACGTTGCATCTGATGTAGGGATGGGCATTCGATGAAATTTTATTAAATCGATCGTTGTCATCATTATTATTACTATTATTTCTAATCTGCATAAATAAATTCAACTTTACGACATATAAACCAGAACAACTCTAGAGCCACATCAGCACGTTTGACATTATAACGTGTTTAATGCAGATTTGCGAAAGTAGAAACGAAACTTAAAACCACATGACTAATTTGCATAAACTAAGCAAAGAAAAATCTGAAAAATCCGCTCTTGTGCGCTGATGTGGTTCAGCTTTTGTCAGACTAAAGGACACGACTCAGTGGAATACAGGTTAGTGTGACCATATTTGTGTTTGTCAAAACCAGGACACCGTACGGGAGGTGGGAGGTGGGGACTCGTCATCGACATTGCTCTACTCTCACCTGGCAAAACTTTTTCATGTTTTTCAGTGTCCTGATGAACTTTGAGGTCCCTGACACTCCCACTGGACACCTGAAACATATGTGCTGCTTTATACACTGTGCACATGGCCTCACATTTGTTTCGACCGGGACGAAAAGCAGGGAATTACTTGTACAAGTCATCGCTAAATGTACATTTTTGCTTTGGCTGTCTGTGTCTGCTCGCTCCTTCTGATGCACAGAGACCTACGACAGATAAAGAAAGGTAATAAAAACCTGAACATTTGCATCACTTTATAAAAAAAAGCCTGCACGGCCAGGACAAGACGTGAAAAACATATCCGGGAAAAACAGACGTTTGGTCACCCTACGCTACGCACAGCAACCAACATTCAGTTTGTCGATTAAAAATGAACGTAATCGACAAAATTCTTAATGATCAATTAGCGATTAATCGACTAATCATGCCCATCCCTAATCTGATGTCAACATTCACTGGGGGCGCGGTGCTAACTGTAAGCACTGCTCTGTCTGAGGATGTGTTATAGTGCGTTCAGACCAGGGCGCCAAAGTGTCCAGTTTACGTGCAAAGTCTATGTGGACGCGCGTCTAGTGAGTCCTGCGTTTCTGCAGCGAATCTTCAGGCGTCAACGTGGAGCGAATCTGACATTAACGCGGCATGTCTTGAGCGCTCAGGTATCGACTCTCGGGACGCGCAACCAAGGCGTCGGCGTCAGGAGTTGAAAATGCTGAACTTTTGGCGTTGAATGTGCCACATCAAACAATCAGGAACGACTATCCAGGGACACAGTGACGTAATTATCCAAAAGAAAGAGAAGAAAGAGAAACCAGGACTGAACCGGGACTGAACCGGGACTGAACCGGGACTGAACCAGGACTGGACTAGGACTGGACTAGGACTGAACCCGGACTAAACCAGGACTAAACCAGGACTAAACCAGGACTGGACCAGAACTGAACCAGGACTGGACCAGAACTAAACCCGTGTCATTAGCGTGTCGTTAGTGGAGTATAAATATATGCAAGCTGCAGCCACTGAGCTGATCACCTCCGCTGATGGTTCTATGTAATAAACACACTAAAGCCACTTTCTCAACCTGGTCTGCCGTCATTCTGAGAAAAGACACGGAAAATTGTATTTGTTTCCAGGACAACAGATGCCCTGGATGCATGCAAGTATTTTTATCTCGTGCGTCAGGGCCGTCTAAACTCAAAGGCAAAGACGTCCAACTAGAGGCGTCCAGCTCGTTTTCTGACGCCCCAGTCTGAACGCACCATTACACTTTAATTTGAGCTTTTATCGAACTCAATCTGACTATAAAGAACTGACTTAGCCAGAATTATAACAGATGAGATGATTTGTGACATTAAACAAGTCTCTCTCAAATAACATTAAAGTCACACCAGTTTTTCAGTCAGTCACCCACCTTTTTGTTGAAAATAAACACTTAAACAGGACCATGAACATCCGTATTGATCACAGGCTCCTGAAAATGAGCTGTTTATATCCATTTTGTATTTCTTCTAGAGCAGGGGTGTCAAAACATGTGGCCCGGGAGCCACATTTTAATTATATTTTCTATTAAAATATTGGTAATTTTCTGCTCTGCTGAGCATAGCAGCATCTCCAGCACCTCCAGCGCCCACCAGAGCAGCACAAATGAAGACTTGCCTCTTTCCAAAGACTCTTAAAGGACGATTGTTTTGACTGTTGACCGTGACACCCTCATCAGCAAAATGTCCAAAATGAGAAAAGTGGAGCCGAGTGCAGGATTTTCCAAGAAAAATGGACTTATTCCTGTTTACATACAAGTTCATGTTAAACATTGTGTTGAAATTGCATTTTTCTTAAAGTTTCAGGTTGTTCATAATATTATAATATTTTGTAAATGAAAGAGTTCAACAATTAAAAATGATTTCTATAATAGGTTTGTGTTTCTCTGCACAAATATTTGAACTTATTGTTATTTTTGGGGTTTATATGCCATGAGTTTTCTGATCCGGCCCCTTTGGGATCAAAGTAGGTTGGATTCGGCCCCCGGACCAAAGTGAGTTTGACACCCCTGATTTAGAGGTTTCAGACTATCTCAAAACTTTTTAGGTGGTATATTTGCTAACATACATACAGGTGTGTTTGACATAGGTTTACTGTATTTGTCCTTATTTTTAAATGAAGAATCATACACAGTTTGAGAAACCAGGGTGTAATAAAGATTGAAACATGTTTGTGGATTATCCATGTTGTCACCATTACAACACACTGAATCATAACTCGGCTTCTAATGGTAACAGTGGTAGTTTGAATTCTAACGTACATATATAGACAGAATAGTGCTTTATGAAATTATGAAAGTGAGTTGGGGACTGGATTAAATAATGAACTTCTTCCTACTCCTTTTGAGGTAGATTTTTCGAGCATTTTGTTGTTTCATGTAATCGAAATGTAACTTTTCGAAATAAAAGTCATCAACCAATCTCCACACACCAGCCTCATCTGTGTGGACACATACCTGCGAACACCCTTAGGCGTTTGCGTCGCGGAGGGGGGCCCAGACCGGACGTCCCGCTGCACTCGTCTTCATCGTCACAGTCTCCGCTCCCGAGACCCTCCTCTTCCTCACCTGCTTCCGAGCGAGACCGAGCTCTCCAGCGCTTCTCCGACAGGCTCACCATACGCAGCAGCTGTGACACAAGGACACACACAGGCTTTTCTTCAAATGATTCTGGAAGTGTTATTTTGATACAATACAAACGGAGACAGGTGGCAGATCCTCTAGACCCACTAGAAAAGTTACATAATGCATTGTGTAACTTTTGTCAAATGCTTTTTTTTTTTTTTTTTTCTTACATGGAGATGTTTTTGCTTTGTCTGGAATGTTTCACAGTGTGGCATTAAACCTTTCTATCTTCACAGAGAATAAATTAAAATTCCAGCTCAGATCTGTGGCGAGGCAACCCCACTCACAATCAGAATGCATTTTTTTCTAGCGATTTTTGAGCTGTAAAACCTCCTGTAATTTGATTAATGTAAGGTAAAGCTGTTTAACGTCATACTGTGGAACATTCAAGGAGGTGACTGATATTTTCTGATCTATGTTATAATGTTTCAGCATCATTCACACATGTTTTACACATAAATCCTGTAACATAAATTAGGCGGAGTGAGATGTCATGTGGTAACACAGGAAGTGCTCCACTGTGTTTTTAAACTCCATACATCTTCACTTGAATCATTTGGATAGTATTGCCACTCTTTGAACAAAAGGTAAAAGGTAGCTGTTCACCCGAAAACTACTTCTTCATGACATCACAAGGTGGAACAGAGCATTTGCAGCTTTGGAGATGTAGACAGCAAAAACTAGAGGGTTCAAATTTCAGGGTAAAATATTTCAGACTTGTTTTTAACACAAAAAGTGTTATTTTAACTATTTGAAAGTTAAATGGGGGCTCGAGTTGGGGTTATTTGCTAGAGTTGATATGGTGAAGTTCATTCAACTTCACCCCCCTACCACCACTTCAAACTCCCGTGAGAGAAGACCAGTTTGAACCAGTTTTGTTTTAAATTAACTAAAATAAAGTGTAAAAATAAAACACCTTTGTGTGTTGTTTAGTTAAATCAGGATAACACTACAAAGTGTTATCTGTTTACTCTCAAAACGTTAAAAATAACTCTGGATTTCGGGGTGAAACAAGAACTTTGGTCCAGTGTTAATTAACATTTCCAAAAATGTTAAATTAACTCTAGAACAGATTGGACTCATATAAACCCTGAGAAAATGTTCAAATTGATTTATGCTGAAAATGTTAAAATTGTGTCTGTGTCAATTTTAAAATTTCACTTTTTGCTGTGTACACAGACTACGATTAAAGTGTTATTCATTACATGTGTGGATGAAACAAAACATAACTCCAGGTCTGTTTTTGAGGATAATGACATTATAAAAGAGTCCGTTTTTCTTCGTCTAAGTATAAATAGTGCATTTCATCCACCTCTTTATGTAGTGCTAGACAGTTGTCACTACACGGTACATAAAAAGCCACACTCCCTCTGTCATTTTGAGGTCAGACTGTCCACTGATGTTTTAACAAAGTTGTGAAAATAGCAGTCTCCATAGGAACGTGTTATTATGACAAAGTTGGGGAATTTCCAGAATAAAATGCATATAAACTGGCATTACTTGGACCGCAGAGGAAACCATGGTCTTATCTGTGACTCTGTGTTATTCTGGTGCAGCCTGATTCTCTTAAAGGTTTAAAGGAGAGGAGCCACCGCAGGCATTGGGCTGTTACTGGAAAACTTTATTGTCCTCAAATGTTTCGGGTTAACAAAACAGGAGACCAGCCCGAGAGTGGCAAAAACATATAGAAACTTTGTATAGAGCCTTTTTTTTTAATTTATTTATTTAGTTATTGCAATTTTTTTGACACATGTTATGATTATGGTTAGATTTGCATTTTATTTTTTTTTACAAATCAAAACTCATAAGTATATTAAGTGTTCTTTAAGTGTGTGTTTATACAGTTTGTGGTTTTGACAAGAATTGTTTTGTTTTAGTTTTAGTTTTAGTCTTTTCACAATTTGTTTTTGGGGCTGTAGGATTGAATATTGGAACTTGAATGTTGTCTCTTTTTGTTCTTGTATGTATAATATATCAGTACCTTTAGTTGACAAAAAGATTTCCTTTAAGTCTTAGTTTTAGGTGAAATAAAATGTATGTAATCTATCTGCATCTACAAATTCTAATTGACGATATATAGAAAAATAGTGTAATCATATACTACAAATATTAGTTATTTTAAAAAAGTAAGTTGTTAGCAAGAAACAAGAGTTATGGGCTCATTGTTATGAAAAAATATGTATATTTTCTACACACATAGTTTGCATCTTCTACTATTTTCTATCCTTTTTTTCTATACCATCAACAGAACTTGAAAAATATTTGTTTATAAGACTCATTAAACAGTAAGATGGTGGTGTCCTCATGAGATTTGTATGGCTGCTGTTGGACTCATATTTGCCTGAGAGATTTACAGAAGTCAATAACACTGAAGAACACAAAGCAGATGTGTTTACTGTCGCCGCGGTTACCAAGATATAAACAATAAACAATGTTCGTCATAAACTGTGACAGGTTTAATAGAAATGTGTCAATCTGCCCTATGGGAATATACACAGACTCTGCCTCTCTTACTAACATCTCATGCCAAGTCTGTCTCCTCAATAAACTACACCATCAACCCATCTGGACCACAGCAGCGGAACTATCAGCCTCTTCATCACCTCCTCTTCTTCAGTCTTTCACCAACTGATCATACGCAGCCTCCCATTGTTCACGTACATACCAGAGTGTAAAGATCAAACTTAAGGCCGCCACACACTAGCCTGATTCATCAGACGGTTTCACTTTGTGGAAACCATCTGACCTCACAGAATTAGGATTCATTCACTCGACAGTAGGTGGCTACTTTTTTTATTTAACCAATCGTATGTAATGCGCCGCTAACATGGCTAACTGGTATATTAAACTTTTCCCAAATCCAGTAGGAAGAAGGGCAATAACGTCTTTCCCCTTGATAAAATTCACCAAACATTCTCTTTGTTCTGGCTTTAAATCCTCGATCTCGGGAATTGTTACCAACATAGAATATATGGCTCTTCGCTGATTGGCTGGTGCCTGGACTCTCACTGCTGGGGTTTCTGTAAACTGTCTAGTGTATTCTGATTCCTGACCTAGTCTCTGATGATAAATGAAATTGAGAGGAGGCACTAGGTGGCGCCAGCCTGGCTACCCACACACTACAGGATTAAACATTTTCAACACGAGGAAAATGTTATGAGATTTAAAATCTCTGATCACAAAGACTGCAGCAGGACATGGCTGCGTACAACAGGCTACAAAGTTGTGAGTGCACCTCACATCAGATGTTTCCTTCCTAGAGTAAAAGGCTCAATTTGAGACTCTTAAGTGTTCAAAAGATCAGAGCACTGCACTTCTAGTTTAGATACAAGTCAAAACTGTGATATTATTATTTGTGAAATTTGGTGTAATACTTCAGATACATGATTTTTAAAGCACATAAGATTGGCAATAAAGTACACAGGAAGTTACTATTGTTAATCTGCACTTTCACCTTGATCTGCGCGCTGTGTGGACGTAAACAAACACATGTAAGGAACTACTCTGGCCTTTTTACTTTTAAAGAACACCTCAAACTGGATTAAAAGTGCTGTTTTGTGGATTGGATGTCATTATTTGCGAAGGACAAATTCTATAGATAATGTGGATCAGATGTTGCAGTTTAAATGAGAGGTGGGTAATAATTATTTTTGAGGTTTTCTGAGTTTGTATTGCGCCTCTGTTTTCGTCACTCCTTTGCCCCTGATGCTCTGTTTTTTTGGCTGTTATTGTAGCGTTGCTGATGTTTGATGGTTATGATCTGACAGAACTGCTCAGAGTCACACTGACACCACACACACACACACACACACACACACACACACACACACACACACACACACACACACACACACACACACACACACACAAAGTCAGATCACGCCTCATCAAACTTAGGGAGAAACAAATCGCAGCCAAAATCGGGCAAATTTTCCTGTAGTGTGCAGCGGCCTTTAATCCATTCAAGTAAGTGTCACTAAATAGTAATTATTACAAGTGTATTTAAGAGGATAAAGGTAGTGATGAATATAAATATGAATACATAGTGCAAACATATAGCACATGTTTATTGTAAAGCAACACTCTGTAACTACACCTGCATGATTCTGTAGAAATAGAAAGAAAGTTAAAACGATACTTTGGAACATTCTCCATGAAGGTCGACAGATTTTATGTGATACTACGGAATACTAAACAAAAGAACAATATTTTCATGGAAACAAGCAGGAAGAAGCCAAACAGGAGCCAGGTTTGTGGAGATGCAAGCCCGCTCAGAGTAAGGAAACATGTTTTTTCAGTGCAACGAAAACATAAGTTACAGAGTGGTACTTTAACATCTGAGAATTGGAATTAAAAATGTACAAAAAAATAAAAATAAATTATATCAATGTCAAATTAGTAGTAGTGACTTGTATGAGTGAAGTTTTTGGTAAATTTGTGTTAATTTGATCCATACTTTCTGAATGGATTTGTCGGGAACAGCCATAAATAAGCACCTGAGCAGAAAAGGTGAACAGACCAGGCTAAATCGTCTTGACAGTTTGTGCGGAGGTGACAGGGTCAGAGGTAAAAACGTGGAAGCGTTAAAGTGGAGCCGACCTTCTTGCTCCGTCTCTGCTCACAGATGATCGAGAGGCCTGCAGAGCGCCACACGTGTTACATTCTTAAGTGTCCCCCCCCCCCCCCCGCTCTTCCTCCTCCTCTCTGTGCGTTTAATGAGTTCCTTCCTCTCTGCACAAGTCAGCTCCATGTTTCTGTTGTTTTCAGTTGTTTGGGGGTAAATTAACTTCATCTGTGCTTTGTCTCAGGTCAGATGCACCGTTACATAAAGGCCCCGGCTCTGTGGCAGATAGAGTCAGCTGAAATATTACAGGCTAGACTACTCATTTCACTAAAACACAGTTAATATCATTCTATTTAAAGGGCTCGTAGTGCACAAAATTGACTCCTGTGAGCTCTAAGCCAATGTTAGAATGCTGTCACCTCCTCAAAAATAGACCTGAA